GGCTGTGAACATTGCACTGTGCGGGCAGTCCTGTAACCTTCAGGTAGCTCTCAACTGGCAAAATAACTGCAGAATGTGGTGGTTATGCTGTGCTGTGGTTCAGTCTGCAACTCATAACTTGGAAGCAAATTAAATCAATAATAGTAGTGCAGGTGTAACTTCCCAGAACTTGCTGAATGCATATGTTTGAGAAACAGCTTTCAACTTTTCAATGTAATTAATAGCTAAAAATCGGGTAAAGATGGAGATCTCTGTGTGGCAAAAGCAGGTCTACTGATAACACTTCAATCACAGTGATTTTGATGGAAGACTTGGAGGTAATTCACAGACATTGCTCCCTGTTAACCTTGTGGCCTGCCTGCCACAAGCTGACACCACTGGCTTGAGGAATTGCTGTTTCAGAGATTACTTTAATACTTGCATTTATATTAATCACAGAAATACTGGCGTTTTGGGGTTTTTTGAGTTGGTTGTTGGTTGTTTTTTTTTTTTTGTAGTTATCTGTGTTTTAGGTTATTTAACTAGTTTATAGGTTAAAAACATGTACGTTAGACAGAAATAAATTTTCTTTTTTCATAAGGGAAGTACACACTGAGACAATTCAGTAGCTATGATAAAAGGCAAGAAGAAAGATGGCAAGAAGAAAGATGCTAAGAAAGATGGTAAGAAGTCAGCTGCTGAGAAGTCAGAAGAATCTCTAGGTACCCCAACTGACAGCAGCTTAGCAACTCTGGGAGATTTGCCAAGTGACTCATTGGGCGAAGAAACTCCAGCAATTCCAGAGGCACCAGATGAAGAGCCAGTGGCAGAGGAACCACCAGTGCCCCCTGTTCCCCTGTTCCACGAAGAGCCTCTCCTTGCTCAAGTGATTGTTGAAAGGTACACTTGTTACACATACAGCAGTGAAGTCAAGAACTCTCAGTTAAGTATCTCTGCTGTAGCCAGTGTCATACAAACACTGATTTGTGGCAGAGAATCAGGTTATGCAGACCTGGTAGCAGTGGCACCTTAGGAGATGTACGTGTGCAATTCTGCTGCCTTCCTGCATCCTAGAGTGCTGCTGGTGCTCTCTGCCTGCCAAAACCCTCATTCTTTGAGCTTTTTCACCTTAAGTGAAGTTTTGTTAAAGTATACAGATAACTGGTGAAGGAAAATATATCATGTAATCTTAGTTGTTGCTGCCTTTTAATGCTTAAAGCTGCTCATATCTCTTCAGAATGTCCTAAACTGAGGAAGCAGGTGAGTGGCAATGTTAACAAAATGCTTTTGTATTTCAATATGATGTTTATATCTAATGTGTTATATACCAGCATGCCTGATTGTAAGGTAGAGAATACTACCAATGTGGGGTTTTTTCTTAATTGAAGGAATTATGGGTCTGAGGCAACACAACAGTGATGTGGAATGTTACAAGGAAGTTTCGAAAAATTGAAAATTTTCTTGTTGTTCATTGTTCTACACAAGGTGCATCAGCTGACCTGTGTGTAGACCATGGTAAATCAAAGGTCATTTATGAACATTTATGTGATTATATGGTTGTTTATGTGATTTAGATCTATTGGCAGTGACTTGAAATCTTCATCTTTAGTTTGGTTTCTTTGTAGCTATGAAGGTGAACAAGTTAATGAATTCTATGAGGGCGAAGGATTTATATGTTTTGAGGGAGGAAATACATACAAGGTGAGTGTATGAGTTTACTAAAAATTAGTGGAGTAAGTTCTTTCTCAAGAGCACTGAGAAGCATTGAAAGCTCTGTTTAGTTTCTGGCATTAAAACTCTTTATTTGAAACTAATAGTTGGAGGGGAGTTAATTCTTTTAAAAGCTTACAGTCACTGTAGGTGACTGTACTTACTCTTCAGCTGGGGTAAGAGTAAATAAATCTGCAAGTGATGCTATTCTCTTCATTTTGAAGGGTCTGTTTTCTGAAGGGCGTATGAATGGAGAAGGGACTTACACATGGGCTGATGGAGTGAAGTATGAGGTAAAGTACAATTGAAGTGATAACTGAGCACAGTTCCATGCAGTTAGATGTGCAAATTGAAGGAAAGTAGATTAGCTGCAGTAATTGGTACAGTGGAAGTGGAAAATGCAGAGCTGTGGCAGTGATTTCAGTTACAAGCCTGACTTGGCCCAGAAGGTTGGGAAATGGAGAGTCTTAGATTTGAATGTTGTCATTTAATCTTTCAGGGAACGTTTGTTAAGAACGTGCCAACGCATTGTGGCCGTTACACCTGGAATGATGGCACTGTTTATGAAGGATCAATCCAAGATGGACTTAGGCATGGATATGGAGTTTTCAGGAGTGGTACTCGTCCCATTTTTTACGCTGGTTTTTGGTGCAATGGCAAAAGACACGGAAAGGTCAGTAAGAACTAAATAGAGCATGGGCTCCTTCAGTAACCTTCACAGTAACAAGTGTTACTGTGCAAAGGTTTTGCTCTGTTGCATGGTCTAATGCTGTGTAGAGATTTGTTTTTCCTAGGGAGCTTTTCTGAGGTTGTGAATACAGTTCATACTGTAGCCCTACTGTTGGAAGGAAAAGACTGAATGGGTCAGAAAACTTATCTGCCTCAGACTGAGTTCTGTAATTAAGATGCCAGGGTTAGCTCTCAAAGTATTTCCAAGAGGTTTGAAAAAATGGTAGACTTTGATGTAATGTAATTGGATTTTTCTTTTGAACATTTGGTGCTTTCTAAGGTCTCACCTAATATTAATCAAAAGAGCTTGTTTTCTTTATTTAATTCTATCCCTTCAGTTGCTTTCAGTACAGTGAGTCAAAGTGACCCTAAGTACTAGAATGTGATTACAAGTGTCATATCATTTGTATGTGGTGTTTTATTCAGGTAGATGAATATTTAGGTGTTTAAAGTGACTGTGCTCTTTGTTTCAGGGTAAAATTTATTATGATCAGGAACAGACCTCCTGGTATGCAGGTGATTGGGTGAACAATGTCAGAGAAGGATGGGGATTCAGACGGTAAATATGATAGCACTTCTTCTTACCCTCAACAGTTTTTATTTTTGTTTAAAGTGGGTACAAATGCTGCAATTTTGTAGTAGTATGTACCTTCTGCAGTTGAACAAAAAATTTACAAAGTGCTTTATGATAACAAGACAGACCTTTAGAAGTTTATTTTTATTTCTACTGACCATTCATACAAAGGAATAGGTTAAGACAAAGTCCCAAATCAGCTTTGGTAAGCCACAATTCAGCAAACACCCTTGATTGATTTGAGCAGATAAAGCTGCCTTATGAATAAATTATTTATCTGTAGAATTATACATAAACAAATATTGTTAATAGCTATGGCAAAAAATTTTTGGGAAAAAGAGCTGGTTAATACTTTGAGTGATTTCTAAATTAAAAATAGGAGGTATGAAGTGGCTCCAATAAAACCTCTGTGTCCATGTCATAGTGAGTCAATTTTCAATTTAATGCTTATATTTAACCTTAATAAATTATAAATCTATTAGCAATGAGGTTTCACATAAATCTTCCATAAGATCAGCACAGAATTTAGTATGAATTAACTTTTATTGGTTTTTTGCAGCTACAAATCTGGAAATACATATTTTGGTCAGTGGAAGCAAAATCTACGACATGGACATGGAAAAATGATATGGCTGGCAGATAACCAAGAGTATGAAGGAGAGTGGGAGTGTGGCCTGCAGGTATAACTTCTTCCCCAGAAACCCTTCTTTTGTTCAGCATCTGTCCACTACTCTATTGGAAAGCTACATAGGGAGTTTTGTGCAATATCAAAGGAGCTTTGTATGATTTTTGCCAGGTGAGTTTGCTAGTGGAGATAAAAAAACATGTTCTTTATTGTAAATTGATTCTTATGTTAGCAATATTCAAATTGTTAAAGGATTTTGATTTAGTCTTATAAAATCAAAATTTCAATCCCTAGTGGAAAATATAAACATTTTTCAATTGAAAAAAAAAGTTAAGGAATGTTTGTGACTTAGCTTGAGCTATGACTTCAGCAGTAGGTATATGTGGCATTTATTTCTGAGTCACCTGTAAAATACTAGACCACACTGTTCCCTCTTGGAAAAGTTTTATGATGGGAGACAATTTTGTGGCATTTTCAGTTCCTTCCATTTATTATTCTGTTTCAAAAAGCAGGTGGGTTACTTGCTCTGTCTTTTCACTCTGCTGAAAATTTAGGAGTCCCTGGTAGAGCTTGCTCAAGCATGTGCTGATGCAGTGCATCCTCTGGGTGGTTCTCTCATGCACCTTTGTGGGATCTCCTTCTGTCCCTGCTTTGAGGTGCTGCAGCCTCAGCTGGGGGATTTTATTTCAGAGAATTGCCAAAGTCTGGATCTGTTTTTTAAGCACACTTTTTTTTTTCAGCATGGTTCTGGCATGCACACATGGTTTTTTAAGAGAATGGACTTGTCTAAGTATTCCCTATGGAATGAGTATGCGGGGAGTTTTGTGAAAGGGGAGCGCCATGGCCACGGGACATTTCTTTATTCTGATGGAACAATGTACAGTGGAGAATGGGCACATAACAAGAAGCATGGCAAGGTGAGTATTGGCAGAACTACAGACAGCAGCAGAGCAAACTGTCCTGCTCTGGATGAGTGGATCTCTACATTTCTGTACAGCAAACTTCATTCAGTTTGCAGCGTGGATGGAATCCCCACACAAAGGGCAGAGACCCCACTGAAAGCAGCTGGAGTCCTTCCAAGGACACAGGCTGACTCTGTGATTAGATATATTTTGGGTATACAAAGACATATATTTCACTGTGGAGATTTTCAGTTCAATAGGTGCATCTTGAGTTTTGCAGTGGTTGGTCAGAATTTCACACTTCCAGTGTGAGCTGGTGGATTTCAAGCTGTCCTTGCACAGGGAAGTTCTTGAAACCTCTCATAAAACAGACTTCTGAAAAAACTCTGAGTGGAGTGCCACATATGCATCTAAGGAGTACAAACAAGTCTTTCTGTATGGGGGAAAAATACTTTTCAAAATCAAGCAGACACATAGTCAGTCCTTTATCCCAACAGTGTACCTATTTAATAGGTGGCAAAATGCATTATAAAAGACAGTAGGAAAAATTATTTTCTGCATTTTATTTCATATATTGCATTTTAGCCAAGATTCTGAAAAGGAAATTTGACTGAGAGAATTAGTGGTTTGGGGTTTTTATAAATCCTTGGTTTATATTTATATTATAATTAATCTGTCTGTAGGGCATCTTTGTCTTCAAGAGTGGTGTTTGTTTGAAAGGAGAGTTTGAGAATGATCGTCCTGTGGAAAGGCCTCCTCGTCAGGGCTCTGCTGTGAAGGCCAAGAACAGGAAAGCCACCAGCCCAAGAAAGAATTTTGGCACTAGTGAGCAGCTTAACAAAACAAATTTTACTTAGTTCACATTTTGTTGTTCCATTTTAGTACAATATGAAATTGTTTGTACGTACTCAAAGACCAGACCTATTTCCTCAAAGAATTTAGATAGAAATGGGAGTCATGGCTTTTGCTTCCATGCTGTGTTTCTGTGAGTGACACGGAGGGAAGTGGCACATCCACACCACATCTTGTAGTGAATGGAACTGTTGTGTGAAAGTTTCACAGCTTTTTTAATGTCTGCATTTCCTTTTGCTTAGGGGTTCATTTGACAGAATTGCTCCTCAGTTGTTCTGCTGTTGGTTGTGAAATCTCTACTTCTTACTGTGAAGTAATCTATTGTTCCAAGTCAGTAATATAAGAAGGAATAATACACATTTTGTTTTTCTGTGTGTGTGTATTGAGCTTTGTTTTAGTTTGCTCTAACTTACTTTTTTTGTTTGATAGAAAGGACCGCAGTCGTTACTGCCTTGGGAAAGATTTCTGTTCTGGGATCAGATCTTGATTTGGATGTATCATCACTGCTTGCCTTCTTCCCAAGGGAAGACAGAGAGAATGAATCACAAAAAGTATAAGTCTACTGTTTGATACTTGCAGTTTTCCCCTGTATTGTTTTTCATACCATTTTATTTCTGGTTTATTTGTGTTAAAGTAACTCTTTCTATTAAACAATTATTTGAAAATCTGAAAGCCATGAAAACAGAAAAGTAAAGAGAATGAATAGACATTATTGCCTCTTCTGAGCTTCCACTAAAAAAGGCCAATTAAAAACAGGCTAACATATCTGGGAGGGCATGGAGCAATCAGCTTTAGCTACTCTGAGGTTTGTCTGCTGACAGAGGAAGATTTGTTTATATCAGTCACCAAAACCCTCTGAGCTGAAGCATTACTTTTGAGTAATGCTTTTGTGAACTCTTAGCCAGGGATATGCAAAGTTACAAGGTCAAATAATTATCTGCCCAGTTACAGAATCAATACAAACTGGTTTCTTCTTGCTTTGAGATGATGCTGAAAACATATCCTGCTTTATTTAGATAGAACTGGCTGTGTTGAGGCATATTTCAAAATTGAGAAGAGCCTACTACTTCTACAGTACCTTGGGCTGTGCTTCTTGTGACAACACTTGCAACATGACTATGCTGCAGTTTTGGAGGTTTCTGAAGGACTGCAATTTCCATCTGTGCTCCGTGACTCTCGCGGAAATAGATCGAGTGCTGAGAGGTTTGTACTCCTGGGGAGCTGTGCAGAGTTGGAGGGTGGGTTCTGCTGGCAGCTCAGCTCTGGGAGCTGTGCTCCTGAGTCAGTTCCTCTGTGCCTGTGAGTTCTCAGTGGATCAATTTACACTTCTCTGGGCACTTCTGGTCCTTAGGCGAGAAAATACAAAATTAAAATACGACATAAAAAATTGCACTGAAGATCCATTTGTTCAAAATATGTATTCACCCCTGGTCTTGCCATTACTGTTTAAGAGAGAGAGAGAATTTTGAGAGAGAAGTAGGAGAAACAATTTATTTTTTTTCAGTGTTCTTAACTTTGGTTTGCATGTAGTATTTTTTTGTCTTCCATAGAGCCAGTTCATCAATCAAATCCCCTTAGACCTGCACTGTCCTTAGTATGTGAAGGGTTTAACTCCAACTTTGAATCCTTTTTATTGCTGTATATGTTGAGTGGATGCATTTCTAGAAAGAGAATTGTCCAAGAGGCAGCTACAGGTGGATAGCTCTCCCTTGAAACTTGTTTGGAAGTGCTGCATTATCAGGTGTGAGATTTCTGGGAGTGTTGTTACACTGTGAGGAGCAGATGGAGAGGATAAGAAGGGCTGACAAATCAATATGCCTATAAGCATTTTAATATTCAGTACAGTATAAACAGTAGAAATTTGTTTTTCTAAAAATTTTTCAGGTGATCAATCACCTAAGGACATCCATGATCCAAGTGATATAGTGCTGTTCAGAACATTTGTATGCTACCTTGTTCACCTGGCATTTCATATCTATCATGAAAAGTGCAAGTAAGTTTCCTCTTTTAGTGAAATTTATTTCAGTGTAATCAGTTTGAATCTTCCCAGACAAGAGAGTTTTTGTTTCAACTGTAGAGATGAAGTTCCTCATCTGCAGAAATGTTTCTTAGAATTGATGTCCAGGAATGTTCTGCCCTCTGCCTGTTGTGTCCAAGGTAAGCAATGCTATTTCTTCTCTGCAGAATTCATTAATTAGTATCACATGCATTGCAGTTTTATTGTTAATGTCTTTTTTTCCCAATTCATTTTAGGTATCTTATATTCTGGTGGAGAATTCTCATCTTTTGCCATGAACTACATTGAGAAATGCTGGGAAATATATGGAGATTTTTGTAGACCATGTCCCATACCTCCATTTGACTCCACAGTGAAGCTGAGGCAATTCCTCTGGATGTTGGATGTAATAATCTCATTTTGTTCTGTTTTGTGTGATTAGATGTGCTTTCTTTGTTCAGTTTATATGAACCTTTTAAAATAGTCCTTGTGGCTTCTGCTCAGTTGAAAAGGTGGGAGTGAAGTTATTTGTGCAAACTGTCCAAGGAGCAGTAAAGGAACAGTTGTTCTTCTGTTATCTACTGTTATTTATTCACTTTTTCAGGATTTGACTTGTAATTTTTTACTCTTATCAAATCCTAGAGCGATGTGTTTAAGGGAATATAAATATTTTTTCTGATCCCCACTGTGTCTCCCTCTGCCCCATCTATAAAATGTGTATATGAACATATCCTATTGTTAGAACTCAAACACTGACAGCTATTGAAATAACACCATAAACCATTTCAATAATGTATTTTTGAAGAGCATGAGATTCTTTACTAAAATTCAGTAATTTGGGGACAGATCAAGATTACTATGAAGGTAGAGAACAATTCCCCCTGATATGCCTAAGGTTGGGGTGCTTCACTTTATAAATCTGAGCAATTTCATGAAGAAAAGATTGGATGGCAAAACTGTAATTTTTTTTGTATTTATGTTTATGAGCTTTCTCAAGTTCTTTTGTAACACTGCTTTTGCAGTCTAGGGAAAATTCCCATTGGCTTCCATAGGACTAGAATTTCTGCTGTTAATTACAAAAGTGGAAGTATCATTTGAATAGCCACTAGAAATTTTGGCAAAGGCTTGAAAGGGAGGTAGATTAGGTCCATGTGGGGCATGCCTTAAGTGCTGTTAACATGTGATATTTATTCTTACCCAGGATTTTAAACTTCTCAGTGAACAGTTAACTGCTCCAATAGTTCTGGAAATACTTGTCAAAGTTGGTGCCTCTGTACCTGACATCTATGGTGTCAACCTGGAGCTGGAGGTGTGTATGGAAAATAAAACATAGTTCATTGCTGCAGGAACAGTTCAAATTGCTTTTAAGAACTGCTGCAATGCAGTTTTTCTTAAGTACCTCATCTTAGCACATCTTGACCACTCAGAAAGGACCTTAGGAGTGCCATAATCCAGGCAGGGAAATGCCCTGTGCAGTGCTGGTAGTGACAGTTCTGTCCTGGGGAGCTGCCTGGCACTGTGGGGATGCAGAGATCACAGAGGGACTGATCACTCACTGAGGCTGCCAAGGTGGATCAGTAATTAAGGTGTGAACCCACTGATCCTGAAAATCTGGTGATGCAAGAAACCTGATTAGTGCCATGTGAGGTGCTGCCACCTCAGTGACTGAAGAAGACTCTTGTGCTACCTGAGAACTGGCCTAGAACAGAGGGTTTCACCCTTAAAGAATTAACTCTTACTTAGCAACAGCCTCTAGGAAATGGCATAACTGAATTTGTTTTGAACAGATCTGATAAACTGAACACACAGTGGAAGTCTTACTAAGGAATCCATTATAAACCCACTCAAGGTTTCTAGCAGCATCCCATGCAATTCAAATAGGATGTTTTAGGTAACAGCTGTAGTTGTGAGTTACTTGTTAGAAAAATTCCTCTTAGCTCCAGATACAACAAAAATCAGTGCAGTGCTTCAGCTCAATATGACTTGTATAAAGTGTAACACATCATATCCTCTCCTGAATTTTTTAAGCTTTGTCTGTTTTCAGGTTTTTTTTTCAGAAAAAGGGATGTTGGACTAGGTAAATGAAACCAGGGGGACTTCACTACCACTTCTGAGTTCTTTGCTTGCTCAGGTACATAGGCCTGTTAATGAAGAGATTTTGTAAAAATTAACTAATTTACCACTGCCTTTGTTTTACTCTAGATGGTTTTTCTGGAATTTTTTGAATCTCTTCTTGAATGTGCATTGGTGTATGTTACTGAGGATATGGTCCTGAAGAAAGAAGCTGAAGACAATAAGAAAAGAAGTAGCTTTGAAATCAAGGAGGTCCCCAACGAAGCCTCAGCTGTGTCTCTCACAGAACAGGCTCCACCCCAGGTAAAGCTGATGCAGACCTGCTCAATGTTGGTGTGTGGCCACTGAGAGAGTGAAGTCAGGCCCTGAAAATCTTCTGTTTCCTGACCATGGAAACCAATTTCCCCTCTTTGCATAAACAAATTCTTGATTGAGTCTTTCTGCTTTTTCTGTGTGTTGGTACCTTAAATTTTAACATCAGTGTAGAGAGTTTTAACACATTTGCACATTTTCCTAGATAACTGAAAATACACATAGAGTACTTCTGAATGGGAACTGACAGATTGGTTGGCTGGTGAAAGATTTTTCTCTTTTGCATTAAGCTGAATGTCTAAAATTGTCCTGTAAAAATGGCATTTTTATGCCAGCTGTTGTATGCAGCAAGCCTTGCTGTTTGCCCACAGTTGAGCTGTTTTCTTTTTCTTTTTGCTAAACTTCAGAATAAGGATTTTGTAGGTTGTGAGATGCTGCCTGTGACACTGTGCAATTTGTGTATACAGAGTAGTTGAAGGCATGAATTCGAATTGTTATTATTTGGAATTATGCACAAGATGAAAGTATTTTTATTAATTTATTTAAAAAAAAGGAGTATTCACAAACATAATTTCACAGCCTCTGTGCCACTGTACCCCACCACTTCCCATTCTTTAGCCAGTTGTTCCCACCCTGTGCACCCCTTCCCTTGCAGCCTCACTGCAAGCAGTGACACAGTTGCACAGTGAAGTGGTCCACTTAAAATAGTCAAAAAATAAGAAAAAGAAAATCTTAATTTAAATGTTGTGAGGCTAAAATGTTTCTTGTGTTACATTTCATTAGTGCAGCAGAAGTATAATTGGTACAGACATAAACGATGACATTTCCCAGGCAGCTGAGCTCTGCACTCAGGAGCAGATGAACAATAGATGAGCAATATGTAGAGCAACATGTAAGAGCAGAGAACAGCTCAAAGAACAGGAGCTGTCATTTTCTGTAGTGCTGTGTTTCCCTAGCTCTGCAATAGGATAATCCTACTGGCCTGCCTGGTATTGAAGGGAAAGTGTTACCTGGGAATATTTGAAAAGGTGGAACACTCCTGCAATAGAAATATCCTGAGATAAGCATGACTGCAGGATGCATTTGGCTGGCAGAATGCTTTGGAGATGGGAATTTGCACAACTCAAAGGGACTTGGGATTTCACTTTGGGGTTTGAACACAGGCCCAGACATTCAGTAACTGAGTTTCAAACTTCTTGCCAGCCACCGAGACCTGGTGAAGACACAGAGCCTGCTCCTCAACCTTCTCTGCTGGGTGAGTACTGTATAAAGTGACTACAAAACCATAAAGGGGCTTGAGGAGATTCACTTTTTCTGCAGCTTTCAAAACAATTAAACAGGAGCTGATCATGGAAACAGGTGATGTATTGCAGTTACAGAGGACAGTTCCATTCAGTTGGACAATTATGACAAAGTTTAAGTTTAGCTTTCCATGCCTGCTGTACACAGATGGCTGGGCAAGTTGGAATCTCTAAATTTTCTATGCTTTTTAATTAGAAGCTATCATTTTTTCATTAAAAATATTTTTTAAATCTTAATTTATCCTGTTCTGTCCCACTCATGTGGGCATGGAAACAGGAGCTTGAACTCTGCATGGTGCCTTCATTAGAAACAAACTTTTCATAATTTCAGAAGTATTTTAACCACAGGTCTGACTTTCAGGGCAGATGACAACCTGTATTTGTTTGTGCTGAAGATCAAACTTGGAATTTCATGCACAGGATTAAAGGCTGAGTAATTTTAATTTTCTTTCTTTGCAATATCAGAAACTCTTCTTGCATTTCCCGTAACTCCTGGAGAAAGCAAAGATGATGGGGCAATGCCAAACAAGGATGTAAAAGAAGAAGAAGATTCCTATCCAGAAAAGGAATTGATAGGTAAAGCAATCCTACTGTTTTAGGACTTATGCACACAAATCTCTTGTAGCTCTTGAATTGCAAAGTTTTTTTGTATAGGTAGATTTCAGCTTGTCACAAGAGGGCAGTAAATGAGCAGTAATTCTGGAGGAAGATTTTTTTAAAATTTAAAATATTTTTAAAAGTAAAATAAAACTTCATAATTAAATAAGATATTTAAGTACTAGCTTACAAAGTTTCTCCAATTTCAAAATGCTACATTTTATTTGCAGGACATCTATAAGCTGTAATTTGTATTTACTCTGAGAATCTCAAGCTGCAAGCCTGTCTGTGGAGTGTCTTGGACAAATAAAATGTATTACTGCCATGTCCTGCTGCTTCTACCTAAAATAAGAATTATTATTAATGGTGCACCACCACTAGCTGGGATAAGATGCCTTATGTTAGGACAGGCCAACATTGAGGCAGGAGAGATGTTCAGTAAGAGCACTTTGAAATGTTGAGGGTTGTAGTTTTCTCTACCATCTTCCTTCCAGCTCATTAGCAGATCTCATCTGGGTTGATTTTTGTGTTTGTTCAATGTTTTCTGCTGCTACAGAACTCAAATCCAAGGACAGAGGTAGACAAGGATCTTTGTGCAGTCATCAGCTCTTTGGCTGAACTCTGCTGGGTGAAATGTTACACTGAGTTTTGTTCAGGGCCCATCAGCTGGGCCTGGCCTGTTCCCTGGCACACAAGGGACACTGGCACACCCTCTGTCCTTTCAGCTGCTCGTGTTTGTCCATCCCTTCCCCCGTGCCCAGGAGGCACAGACACTGAACTGTCATCAGGTTACTGCAGCAGACTCTCAGCACAGGCTTAAAGGGGAGAGTTCATTGTCTTTTTGTGCCATTCCCAGGGCCAGGTCACTGAAGCCCCCCCGTTCAGTTCAGGGGTCTCACACCTTTCACCCTCTGTGCCAGGCAGAGGCCAGACCTTCCCTTTGCAGTGTCAGAGCTGGAATATTGTAGTCCAAAACACATTTGAAATAGAAGTGCCCTGCTAAATAAACATGTTTAATTTACATCTTGTAGATGAACCAAAAGAAGATAAAGATGAACAAAAGGAGCTGTGTAGTTTCTGGATGTGTCAGGTGGAAATCTTTTTCACAACTAAGTTATTCCCTGCTTTTGAGCGTGAAATAGTGCTGAGAGATAAAATAAAAGAAAAAAAACCCCAAGATGCTGAATTAGCTGAGCTGAGAAAGATCCAGGCTGAGGAGCTGAAAAGGTGAGTGTTGAATCTTGTCTGGCAGTACTGTTATCCTTTCTTTTCCACTAGCAAAATAATTGAAAATGAGAAGTGTGTTCAAGAAAGTAATATAGCTTACTGTAGCTGGAAAACAGCCTCACACAGGTTTCATTAGTAACACAGAGAATGGAACTCCTGTGCTTTCTGCTCCTGGCTGGGGTAACAAATCCAGGCTGCTTTCAAGTTACAAACTTAGCTCTGGTATCTCCTGGCACTTGGTTCTTGCTCTGTGCAAAGGCAGTTAAGACATATTTGGACTTGAGGGGGTAATTAGAGACTTTCTGCTTCTCTACACTGTGGCAGTTTTTGCTGCTCATCCTCTGACTAGACTGGAGTTGCTTGGCCAGTGCAAACCTTTCTCCCTTCTCTTACAGTACCTTAAATTCAAATTTTGTTCATGCAGACTTATTGCTGAAAAAGAAGAAGAAGAAGAAGCAAGAAAGCAAGAAGCAATTGCATTACAGGAGAGTGTCAGGCTCAGTGAAGAAGCCTCATCATCTTGGGAGACACTGCTCTACTGGAGAAATCTCCAGCTGAAAAAAGAGGTCTCCAAGAGAGAACCCTCACCCACAAAAAGCCCACGAGGCAGTGAGGCCAAGGCAGCACCCACAGCTACCAAGGCAACAGCTGACAGAAGGAAAAGGAAATAAATCCTCTGCTGGGAACTGCTGAAGCTTCAAGCAAGTTCTCTTCCAATAAGGGAAAAAAAAACCAAAACCAAACCAAAACAGCCCCAGAAGAGCCAGAGTTGTAGGAAGCTGTAAGGATGCCTCAACTGTGTGCACAAGACTTGCTGCTTTCAGAGGGAGCAGCCTTTTACACCAGTTTTGGGTAAACTAGCAGCAAGTTACACAATGCAAATGAACACAGATGCTTCTAAAGTGTAACAATTATTAGTTTTATTTTTCAGCAAAATATTCACATAACATATCAGAATGGAATGGTACAGATGAGTTCAGACTGGTTTTTAATTAGTTTGGACATAAACATTTTTAAAATTTAAAAATTTTATGGTCAGAGTTTACAGATTTTAGTAGAAATTTTGATTCTTACAAAGCAAGTATTGCTTTACTATTGTCATTATTCCAGTCAATAATATGACTAATAACTTCTCATGTTGAACAAGTGCCTGACATTGACATCTTCAATAAATCAGCCCTTTGCAGATCAATCCAAGAAGAAAATATTATTAAACTGTGTTGCACAAAGTTTCTTCACTTCTTCTGTTAAAAAAAAACCAAAAGAAAACCCCATCAGTCTTGTATTTTACAGAAACCTCCTCAAGAAAAACCCTGGGGATTGTCATGGAGAATATAAAACTCAAACAGAAAAACCCTAAGAGTTTCTAATGTAGAAACACACACTTAATATTACTCTCTCTTCAGTAGGAAAAAGTCAAGTCTGATGCCTCCCACTGGCTGAAAGTGGTTTAAGTGTAAATGCTGGGCCTCTCATCAAACACTGCAACAGCAGCAGACTTGGCTTAACATGTAGTTAAGGGAAATATATGACAACTCCTTTTTCAGAGAAAGGAGGAATTAGGATATTCTGTTACAGTAAATCAAGTCTGCAAAACTTTTGCTTTGTGTTATTTGGCAGACTGATAAACTTCCCAGGTTTGTCAGGCACTGAAACACTCACTCACTGTTTCTCTGTGGCAGGTTTGATGCTGAAACACAGTTACAGAGAGATTGCAAGTTACACAGCTCATTCCTCTTTTTAAAATGCTGCTGGGCTTTGGTCCTGAAAGGTAGGAATTCTTTCCCATTGTCTAAGGGAAGGATGTGCTAACAGGAGCACATTTGCCTCCTGTTAGAATGGAGAGTCCTAGCACTGCTGCAAGATTCAAACAGATTGGCACAGAAATAGCAATGTAAAAGCTTATTGCATCTTAGTGTTAATTCTCCCTCTTAGTCCCAGTAAATCATTCTCAAAAGCACGTTAGAAACAAGACAGTGATGGATGAGGATCACTGACAGGACAGCCACGATGTGTGAGTAACTAACCCTGCATCACTAACAGATGTAAATGTATTCATCTCTCAGCTGCAATACACTTTTTAAATGATGCCTAAACTAAGCTCAAGTGCTGTTCTCTATTATTTGAAGGAGGAAGAATGATTAATAATTAAGAATGCCTGCTGAATATTTATGCTGTCCTTTCACAGCTGGTAGTAGGCAGACTAAAACCTTAGGCAAACTCAGCAGCTCCATCAAAGATCAGTCCCTCTCTAGATTCCTCATGAGATGAGCTGTATTACTTCTCTAGGGGCACACACTTTAGGAATAACTGTATTTAAAGGTAATAAGAAACAATCCTTACCATTAACTTCAATCAGATTTACATTTTTTTGATTCAAAATAACATACAGTTCTCGCTGGTCAGACTTTTTCCCAACTACCCAGTAATCACTCATTGCCTTCACAATAATTTCCTCGTCTTCATCAACTCTGAAAGAAGTTTTAAAAAGTAAAGAAGGTGGCAGCAAGATCATCTTCAACAACTTTATGTGTAATCATTAGGACAGCTCAATGTCAGCAACGGTGGTTGTGCAGTATCAAAGAAAACACCAGTTTTTGGCCATCATTCAGTCCAGGTGAAGGCTTCAGAAATGGCTGCTCAGGACATGCCCAAATGTGTCAATCAGTAATTTTTTCATTAACCAAACAATGCAGTGAAAACACTGAGAAAAGCACCTCTCCTCCATTCTGGCAAGGACACACTTCACAGAATGAGGATTTGCTGCACAGAGACCAAACACTGAAAGCTGGAGATGGTTGGTGATACTGAGCTTTCCCAGAACTGTTAAACCTGGACCTAAACCATGCTCAACAATTGGATATCTGCTATAAAGCTGTCACAACCCAGTTCTTCCATAATATGATGAAACACACTTTCTTCATTTAGAGAAAAATGGAAACCTTGTCCTTAAGCATAGTGGGAAAACACTTGTTGCTAACTGGAGTTAGGGGCATCCCAATCATTCAGCACTGTCATGTCCTCCTCAGCTTCTGCAGTGACAGAAGAGGGTCTCTCCCACCTTGCAGCATGGCACCCACTGACTAAAGGTGTCTTCTTTTATCTTCTCTCTCAGCAGGGCTGCAGTAACTGCAAGGTTTGCATTTCATCCTTTGTCTCACTGTGTGGTGTCTCACAGCCACCAGCTGTGTCAGGGCAGGTGACACAGGAGAAGGAGGTGTCCCTGTCCTTCACACTGCTTTCCCAGATTAGACAGACTCTTGTGCTTCCCATCCCATTTTCTATGACTACTCTGAAGCCTCCAATAGATGAGATACTTTCTTTGATAGAGGCCCTGGCCCTCTTTTAATTTTTTGTTTAAAAGGACACTAGAAGTTTGTTTGTTTTTTTTTTTTTTAAGATGGACTACTTCTACCAAACATGAATAGCCAGCCATCAACAAAAAGACTGGAAAGGGCCACTCCTTTGCAAAGAAAAAAAAAATCTGCTTGACAGGAGGAGTTCCAGACTATTTAACAGTCAGGCATTACCTGGAGAAGTCACTGTTGATGTCACCGAGAATCTTCATGAGGTCAGGGTGAACAGATGCAAGTGACACACTGGGGGTTTTCCTCATGTGAATGGTGCTTTTCTCTGCCAGGTTCATGTGATTGAAATAGATAAACTTAAACTGAGGTTCCTTCTCAGCCCTAGGAAGATTTAAAAAGAAAAAGTGATTTGTGAATACCAACATGCTCTTTAAGCACAGGCTTCCCAGAGAATGGGTAGTGAGCCAGTGCAAAGCCAACTGACACAGCCTGGACTTATCTTCACACTGAAGAGACTTGTGGGATTGAAATTCATTTTAACCCAGTTTAAAAAAAACAAGACAACCAAGCCAGCAGAACCAGCCAGTATTTCCCCTTCTGCCACTCAGGCTGCCAGCAAACACACACAGGGGAGCCTGAAGGCCTTGCCCCACTTCAGAATAGTAATTAATTTGCATTTTTCTAATGAGCTGTTTTTTCCTGGCCCCATTTTGTTCCTGCTGCTCTCCCTTATGCCAGTCAAAGCTGAATTGAATGGATCCTGGGTCTTTAATTTGAGCAATAAGTCATCTTCTATTCATGTTTTTGTTATTTGTTACAACCAAGAGAACAAACTCTTTCTTGATCCAGGCAATTAGATTTCCCCCCACATCATTTTGTGGGCCAAGCAAGAGACTATTTTCAAACTCCTGCCTTGGCAGTCTTCCTCCATTTCCTCTTTGATGAAGTTAATATTAAAAACCTAGAGCTGTAATTTTTTGTAGAAGTCACAACACATTCAGACTGACCAAAAACTGCAGCAACTGGTACTTGAGGCAATGCATTATTTAGAAGGAGAAGATACTGTGATGACACTGCTCACCTTAGCAAACAACCAGATACCCCTGCTCTCTGTCACCCACATGCATTAGTGTCAAGGAACTGTATCATGTTTTCAGGACACCATGGCATTAAACTTTTAAAGAGTTAAAGCTGCCAAAGCCAGTCCCAGATGACATCTAAAAACCCCAAGTTTAATGATTTAGTAGATTGGCACAATTTCAAGCACACCCTATTCTATCCTGTGCGATTTTGCTGATTTGGGATGGTGACACTGACAGAGTTCACTCACACACCTATCTTTGGTTGAATTCTTTTATGTTGCCATATGGGATACTGCTCTTGCTTCCTAACTAATAAATCTATCAAAAAAATAAATGCAATTTTATTGCAAGTCAGCTCTAGTTCTAAGTGAAGGATATTTTCTAAAGCATTAGCATCCTTTTTCTTTTGACTGTTTTTTGCCCCTCAAGTAATTACCTTAGTCCTGCAAAACAGGAAAATAAAAGACCTTTTTTCCTCACCTACTATACATGGCAACACTTCAAGAAGCAGTAATCCTGGAAGAGTCCTCAACAGTAAAGCTTCCACTGCAACCAAATAACTTACTAAAATTGCCATTTCAGCCAGACAATAAACATTTGTTCCTAAATTAGTAACACCTCTTGTTACTTCAGGGAGAGCCAGATATGCAATAACATGCATTTATAAACACTTAAGATGCAGAAAAGCAGACAAGCATTGCTTTAAGTACACCATTGACGCTTTCAAAATGTGGGCTCGTTATTTAAGCGGTTCATTTAATCTAAATTTCACCAGCTAATGAGGAAAAGAAGTGTGGTACAAACCCTGATATTCTCTTGTTGATGTTGTATTGCTCACATATGTCTGATGCCAACACCGTGAGCTGAGGCCCAACAATGCTGTCCAGTTTTCTGCAGAACTCCAGTGTGGGTGGAATTGAAGCTGTCAGGCAGAGAAAGGCACAGGTGAGATTCTCTCCCCACAGCTCAAGGTTCACTTTCTGCAGTTGTTTTCTTAAAACATCAGCGAAAGTCCAAGGACAAATTTCTCCCACAATTCAAACCTCAGAGGTGAATTTGAATATGGCTAAAGGAAGCAGTATTTAGTCATTTTATTGTGTAAAATGAGTTACTTGAACCACTGGAACAAAGATAAAAGACTGATAAAAGCACTCATGAAAAAGAGACTCAAATAACAACTTAATATGAGTATTTTTCAAGAGTAAAACAAGCTGCATGTCAAAGTATTTTACATATAAAAGTCTTGGCAAATAATTGATGCTAATAGGTACTTACCATCAATCATAAAGCAGACAGCTGCACTCATTGCCTGGAACAAAACAAAAGCAAAAAAGCCATTTACAACAGAGTCAAATAAATGACAATACTTTAGAGAGGTCACACACAGGTGAGAAGAGATTTAAAAATCTTTTTTAAAGGTAACACTTCAATAGGATAACCTTTTTGCAGTCCTACACAACTCAGGTTAGCTATGATTTTAAAATTCAGCTATGATTTTAAAATTCAATTAACTGCTTAAGTTGTAGGGGAAAGATAAAACTTGGTAAAAATGCATTTTATACAAAGACATCTGCAAGAAATTCCCATTTAATGTAAGAACAAAATATTTTTTGTTTTATTCATTAATCCCATATAAAGCAAGGCATGAAATCACTTAAAGCACATGAAGGCTGGTATTTTGTTTGAATAAAACAAAATAATTGTTTGTTTTGTACAGGGTACAGGAGAAGGGAGAAGAAGATTCAAGCTTGTTTCTAGGAATGCCAGTTTTGTGTCTCTTATAATGCACCTCTCTATACAATTCCTAAGTATTTCACATCATTGTCACCTTCACTGCACAATGATTCCTAATTCTGAGGAGTAATTGCAGAGGAAGCTGTAATACCTTATAAACAATTAAGTGAAGCTCTTCGTAAGTGTCATCAGTGTTCACAAATATTTTGGGGAAACGGCATTTTGTTTCTGGATCATTCAGATTTAAAGGTCCAGTAAGAAACCTAGGAAATAATTCAACAGGTCAGATGTGATGAATACTTGTATTTCAGTTTCTTGAATTTAACAGGTGTTCTCCAAACTTGCAATTAGGAGTTCTCATGATTAAGGATGTCCAAACCCACAATTATGCAAAAGAATGTTGCCCACTTGCTTAAGTACAGAATTCCTCACTAACATGCTGAGTACAGAGGAAGAACAAATAGATAAATCCTAGATTAAACTGCACCTTTGTCTGGAGAGCTTGACTGAAAAGAAATTACTGGAACAATTCCCAAATTTGTCATACAGTGCATTAAGAACAATGGGAAGAAAAATAAATCTGCAGTAATGTTAATGAAGCATTTTCTCTTTTTTCCAAGGGTCAAGTTTTACATTTGCAGCAACAATTGTGTGACCCTCAGGAACGAACTGTGTGTGGAATATGTACTCAAAACACACACACTCCTCCCAAATGCTCTGCCTGGGGGGAGGAAGCAGTAGATGGTGGCAGTAAAACAAACCCTACCTTCCATAGTGTTGGAGATTTCCTGGCATTTCCGCACGTATTGGAGAATCTCTTCCTGCTAACTGAGGGGGAAGAGAACATACAGGGAAAAACAGCTTAGAACAGAGAGAAGAGAGATTCCTCTTTGGTATTTTAGCCTTTAGTACCAGATAAACAGGAACAAAAGACCAAAACCACCCCATTACCTCGCCCCTCAAAACCCCCAGCCCAGCTACCTCAGGCTCCATGTGCCTTGGAAACAGAGATGTCGTGAGATATTTGTACAAAATTCTCATGTCATCTTGCTCCAGTCCACTCCTAGAACACGGTGGGGAAAAAGAAGCAAATTATGTTTGTGCTGCAGTTCAGATCACACATTTTCCATAACTAGCTCAGACCAATGCCTTTCTTACTGAATGGCAGCCTGACTCGTGTTTTCTCATTTTCATCCAACTCTGTCACTAATTTAAAAGCTTCCCTATTATGGCACTTACTCATAGGACTAGAAATTGAAGAAACACAAAAGAATTACTGAAGTACCTACCAGATAAGCTGGTCATTGTAGAGAAATGCAGTGTACTTGACTATATTCAGGCTCTCTTCCATCCTGTTTATAAATGACTGGATTTTCAAGTAAGTCATTTTATCCAGTGGAAAGAAGCTGATTCCACAAAACACATCCAGCAGATCACAAGACTGTAAGTGCAGTGTCTGCAAGTACTGAGAGAACAACAACAATTGGCTTTTAGAATTCAGAAAACTGTCAAGGTGTACATTTAAAGGACAAATTTGAGTCTAATCCCCAACAATCTGGACTAAAAATCAAAGAAAAATCTGCTCCTTCCAGTGCCACTTGTCTGACACACTCGTTCATGTGGGGACAGACTGGTATTTGGACTGAAGGAAGCTCAATTCAGGTTAGACATGAGAAAGTTTTGTACAATGAGGGTGCTCACACACTGGCACAGCTTGCCCAGAGAGGTGGTGACTGCCCCATCCCCAGAAACATTCACAGCCAGGTTGGACACAGCTCTGAGTAACCTGATCTGGCTGAAGATGTGTGCCCATAGCAGGGGGCTGGCCTAGATGGCCTTTAGGGGCACCTTCCAACCCACACCACTCTGTGATTCCATGTGTGAGTGCATGAATGGGATTCCAGGCATCACTTTGCTTTTATTTAATCATTATGAAAACAGCTTTTAAGGAAAGTTCAAGATCTCTTGAGAGTATAAGCAAGCAAAGCCTATCTCACTGATATTTAATTTCATGTTCAGTTGTAGAAACAGGAACAGATGCTTTCAATGTGTAATGGAATAAATAATTTCCATTACTCACTTTCTTGATGAACTGTAACCTTTAGCAAGAGATTACAAATGCACTGTCAAGTGGTCTGTGGAAGATGCTTTATCCAATGGCTCCCTCTACAGTCACTTCACATTACTGAATGCCCACAAGAAATACAGACCAACAGGGTGACACATCTCTGGCACAGCTTGTGAATCTCTCTTGTGAATTTTTGCTGAAATTTTTATTGTTTCAGCAATAAAAATTTATTACTTTCTTTTTTGCAAAGGTCTACTTTTAATTTAGTCTGGACAGCAGCACACACCAGCTCACTATGGTACTCCTTGTGCCAGTGGTGTTTATTCTGGAGTCTACCATAAGTCTGACAAAAAAGCAAGACCCTCCCCAAGTCAACAAGCAAAGCCTGTACTTTGTTTATGCTGTCACATTGTGCCATTCTACAAATCTGTTAAAAGAACAAAATTTTAAACATTACACAGTGCCTACACTCCATCACTATCTCAGATCTCAATACCACAAAGCACAAACTGCTGACAGCAGTCCTGTTTCCTTGCTTGCAAACAAGAAAAATGGGGGCAGGCACTTTTCAAGTGTGATGACATTTCTCATGTAGGAACTCAAAATTGTGACAGATGAGACTGCTCAGTGACTTTATGTGAAAAATAGGTTTTGCCTTTTATTCTTTCACTAAAACATCAGCTATTAAATAACATTCTGAAGACTACTTACAATGCATGCAATATTTCCTGAAGCCTTCTTAGGATTGGCTACTAATTCCACATAGTGGATGGAGTAGGGGGGAGAACTTCAAAATTTTTTTTATTCACTATTTCACAGTATGAAAGGACTTTAAGCATGCAGGTTGTGGAATCTCCACCCCTGGATGTTTCCAGGTCTCAACCACCCAAAGCACTGGGCAGGGGAGTTTAAATGCAGTGTTATCATGCTTTGAGTAGGAGGCTGAACTGGATGACCTCCCCAAATTCCTTCTAAGCTCAATGAATCTTCAACAGTCACTCAAATAGGTCTGTACAAACTGTTATCACAGTAACCAATTCAAACATTAAAGCAGAACTTTGAAAGAATGAACACAATTCCATCAGAAAAAAGATCCAACAGTTAAGTTGTTCCATCAAGTCATAACCACGCTTGTGGTTCAACTCCACTGAAAGAACCCCACTCTGTCAGAAAAAGCAGGAAGTATTTGACAAAGTGAGTAACCACACACTTTGTGTTGACTCTACATCTTTTCCACTGCCTGTGTTTTACAGTCACATTGCTGCCACTTTTTCCTTTTTGTGTTTTATTTCCAGTGCAGAATCACAGTATGGGCCTGAAAAATGAGGTCTTACCCGATGGAAGAATTTCTCTAGTCTCTCCTTTAGCACTTTCACACCCCCATCTTCCATGGCTCTCAGGAATGTGCCATTGAAAAGCTAAGAGTTTAAAGACAAAAAAATCACTTAATTGAGTAATCATTTACAGAAATTTCTTGTAACTTGGTTATGAATATAGATTACAACACAACTTCCATTCCTTAACATACTCCAAATCAATCCAAATGTATCCCTTCTTTACTGAAAATCATTTCAATTTGCAGAGTCCAGGTATAAATGGCAGCAGAGGCAAGAATTTATGTGTGATTGAAGTATCTCATGTTCTTGTCTTGTAAAAGGCCTTGAGCCCCCAGAGTTAACCCTACCTTGTACATGCTGTAGCACTGCTGGAGGACTGAACTGTAAACCTTGTCCTGCAGGAAAGAGAGCAGCACATCAGTAGGAGCAGAGGCAGAATGACAAGAATTTTGGCAGAGCTACACATAACATGTGTTTTCAAAGAGCCAGCAAAGACACAAATCAGAGAAATCAACCTCTGAAAAGCTAAATGGCATTGTCAGTCAGCATCTAGAAATGTCTCTGTATTTATAAAGTATGATTTCAATGAAGGCAGTCCCTTCCCCCATCACATTTAGTACCAAAAGCACCTTCAGAACTCATGCCAAGGATTCCAGTTACAAACAGTGCCCTTCCCTCAGGCCAGTGGTCAGTGAAAATGATCCTCTTTCTGATGGCTTTCTTCATCCAAATCAAAGGCTGAAGAATGTGGGACACTACAGCAGGTTTTATGGGGCTGAGATTTAATCCAGATCAAAAAAAGATCATTTTATCTGGCAAAATGGAGTCCCTAGGACTCCAATCCTTTTCTTAGGACACAGAGAGGAACAAAAGTAATGCACACTGTAAAGAACAGGGGCAGGATAACCAACCAGCTTTTTAATTATTATCCCACCCTGCCAAATACCCTTCCTGTATACAATTCAACAGACATAATGATTCTGCAGCTTGGACAAGAAATCCCATCATAGTTACGAGCTTTTTTGGTTTTCCAGATTAGTAAATATTACTAGCAGTCTTAAGAAAGTAATGACATATATACTGGCACCTAATAAAAATACAGAGATTTAAGAACTTAATTAAACAAATGGCTCCTAAGAAATATTCACCTACTCCAAGCTGAAAGTCTCACAGCTGAATATTTCACCAGTGTTTATTGAATGATCTTGAACTGTTCTCTGGATAATTCTCTATTTTGTCCTCTTCTTTAAACTTCACTGAAAAGTACTTTGTCCTTTTTCCATTTATGAAGATAGATTTAGATACATATAAAATCCATTTAACAGCAGTTCAAGAAGAATTAAACTAAGATATTTCTGGATGGAAGTACTCTCAAAAATACAACATAACTCATTTAAAAAAAAGGAAAGATCATTATTACCAGCAATTCTTCTTCCTGATATTCATAGACTGGCTTTCCATCTTTGTGTTTCTCTATGATGGGATTCCGTACAACCTAGGAAGTGGAACAGGCTGGTATGAGACAATGCAGAATGCATTGAGAACATTGCAGGATGCTGGTTTAGGAATATGCATATCACGTGCATAAGTACCATGACCATCCAAAAGTTTTCTTCAGGTTCATGGAAAAACTGTCTATTCTTCTGTGTATGTAGGGATTTTGCAGGTTTTGTTGGGCTAAAGGTCCTGAAAAGAAAACATGTAAGTAGATATAGATATTTATACATGCTCACAAGAAGACATATAACTGAGATATTTAAAATACAGTGCTTGTGCCAAAATAATCACCCATGCAATCAGAATTCCTACCTTGTGAACTGCACTATAGCTTCACACAGCCCCACATTTCTAATTTTTTCATTCTTTTCTACTTCATTTGGATGATAGAAGAGAATTTTCTTTTCTTCCTAAAATTTGAAAAAAAAATCCAAGCAAATGCATTTTAACAAAATCAAAGAATATTGAGTTCGTGGTTTGTTTGTTTTTTTAATCCCTTAATAACATAGGCAGAATTTTATTTTGTACCAAAATGGATTTCTGTAATAATGGATAAAAGATATATTAAGCACATTTAAGCAGTCAAACATCCATGATATGTCAAAGGGCTTTGTAAATGGAAGGCTATTGATATCACAGGCCCCAGTTACTTCTGGGCCTGTTCAAAGCAAGGCGAGCTTCAAAGGCAGCTCAAAGCATGACAAGCTTCAAAGGGAGCTCAGATTGCCCCAGGCCTTGTCCAGTCATGTGTTCAATACCTCCAGAGATGGGAATCCCACAACTTTCCAGCCCTGCTCTGATGTTAGATCACTTCACCTTGAAGAATTTTTTTTTCTATCTCATCAGAATTTCCCTCCCTCCATCCATCCATCCATCCATCCATCCATCCATCCATCCATCCATCCTCATTCTTTCACTTCAAGAACCAAACTCCATCTACTGCTTTCCTTCAGGCAGAGACTGCCCTCTGCCCCCTTTCCACATTGTCTCCTCCAGAATGCACAAATGCAGTTATCAAAGGCTCCTCTGGTACCCCACAGCCTGCACCCCCTGACTGACTCACTCAGGGCTTCTCCACTAGGCTATTTCAGTTTGCCAGTAGTTTTCCTACTCTGGGAATCCCTGGAAGAGCACAGCAGCCACTGTGCTGACCAGAGGGGAAGCATTGGCTTGGCTGGACTTGCTGAGCCACCCTCCCTCCCTGCCTCCCACAGCCACAAGCGCTCACTGCTGATTCACGTAGGACCTGTTGTTCACAGACTGCCTGGTCCTGTTTTGCAGAGCTGCTCCCAACCAGTCCACCCGACCTGCCACGGTGAGCCAGATCATTCCACCCCACACGCGGGGCTGTGCTGAGCTCCAGAGGTTCCTGCCGGCCCAGTCCCCAGCTCGCTGGGGTCCCTCGGGACAGCGCCTCATCCTGCAGCGGAACAACAGCTTCCCCCGGGCCGGAGTCACCCGGAGAGTGCTGAGGGCACGCTCAGCCCCCCCAGCCTGTCACTGCTCTGTGTGTAAGTACTGCTGCGTTCAGGAACTATTAAAGCTGAACCACACGACACGCTGTCACCTAAAGCGAGAGACCAGAGCTTCCTGACTCTCCTTACTAAGGGACACAATGGTGAATAAACACTAGCAGTAACTTGACTGTAACTAAGTTAAACAGTAACCTTTCTACCATATTGTAGCTACGTCGAGGAAGATTTTTAGACAAAGTTAAAGCATCAGCAGAACAGTTGCTGACTGTCCAGCTCCCCATCTACAACATACGCCCGGCTGCAGACAACACTTCTGGTCACTGTTTCCTTTCGGTGTGAGGCAGTGCCAGACCCCAATGGGGGCGGCAGTCGTGCCCGGCCCCGCGGGTACCCAAATGCCCGGT